CTGCCAGCCCGGCACCATGGGTCCAGCAGCCGACACACTCTCAGTGATGGTGGCTTCCATCAGGAGAAGCACCAGCTCCGTGTCTCCACCTTCCTTTCTTCCTCCATCCATGGTTCATTCATTCATTCACAGATCAGTTAAAGGAGGCCCACCCTGGCCTAGCCTTGGCAGGGTGTCCCAGAGGATGCTTTACGAACGAGTAGGAGCTAGCCAGATTTGGGAAGCAGGGGGAACAGCATTCCAGGCAGACAGAACAAGCAGGTACAAAAGTGTGAAGAGAACATACAGTGTCCTGGGAAGAGCAGGTAGTTGAATGGGAAGGTCAAGCTGGAGACATGGGAGGAACCAGGAGAGACTTCCCAACAGTGCATTCCATGCCTAGCCTCCCCTGGCCACCTGCACAAAACTGGCACTTGGCTAGATTCTGCATAACATTGTCTTCTAACGTCCTACATCCTCCTGTCTGCGGCCTAACGTTGGCCATCCTGTCTGCCCGCCGCTAGAACGTACACTCCTTGAGGGCCAGGTCCGCCCCCTCCCAGTGTATCCCTAGCACCTCGAAAAGTATCTGGCGGGCACTAAGCAAGTATGTTTTGCATCAGTGATCTGGGCCAGACTTTAGCAGACTCGGGTAGAGTCAAAAGGCCCATCTGTCAAAACGGTTGTAGTTTTCCGGTGTGAAAAAGGGAGTACGCAGAGGGGGGCTTCCCGCGGAGGGGGCTTCCCAGAGAAGAGGGAGAGAAACGGGAATGTGCCAAGCGGCCTGCCAGGTCCTGACACGTGCCCCGTCCCCCTCCCCAGCTGTCCATGCTGTTCACGGAGGAGTGCGACAAGGTTCGCGACCTGATGCACGTGCACTCGTTCAGCTATGATTTCCACCTGCGCCTCGTGCACCAGCACGTGCTGGGCGCCCACCTGGTGCTGCGGCACGGCTACCACCTGACCACCTTCCTGCGGCACTTCCTGGCTCACCACCCGGACGGGCCCCACTTTGGCCGCAATCACATTTACCAAGGTCGGTGCCAGAGGACAGGCCAGTGAACCAGAGCTAGACCCCATGGGGTCTCCAGACCTGGACCGATGGGACCACTTCCTAGGGCCAGACCTCCACCTCTCCTGTCCCATCCTATCCCATATTGTTAATCACCTCATGTCACTTGGACCATATCCCTGTGTCTGCGGTTTCTGTCTTTCTCTGAAGTTCTTCATGGTGTTTCCCATCAAAGTTTAGATTCTGAGCCACATTGGGCCCACCTCTATGTTCCCCAGGACCTTAGGAGCCCCCCAGAATAATAGCCAGTCTGCCTGTCAATGAGAACCTTAGGGATGTCTGTCTCCCCGTCCCACCTGTTCAGTATGCCTGTCTCAGGCTCAGCGTCTCCTATAACTCACCCCTCAGGGACACTGGAGCTGTCCACACCACTCATTGCCGCCCACCAGCTGTACAACTACGTAGCTGACCACGCCAGCTCCTACCACATGAAGCCCTTGCGGATGGCCCGGCCAGGAGGCCCAGAGCATAACGAATATGCCCTGGTATCGGCGTGGAACAGGTGAACTTGGGCGTGTGGGGGGCACCAGCATGTGCTTTGGTGGAGCTGAGGTCAGCCCCCCACCCCGGGGCAGTAGGGAGACGTGTTTTCTCGAGCCAGAAGGATAGGCGTGGCATCATTAGAACCTCAGGGCCGGCGTCTTCCCCACCCGCGCCATACAGCTCTGGCTCCTACCTGGACTCCGAGGGACTTCGTCACCAGGACGACTTCGATGTGTCTCTGCTGGTGTGTCACTGTGCTGCACCCTTTGAAGAACAAGGAGAAGCCGAGCGGCATGTTCTGCGGTCAGCAGATCCCCTACCTCAAATGCGCTCATGGCCCAGCCTTCCCAGTACCCTTGCTCTCTCTGTGTCCCACTCTCATCACCACATTCCTACCCCGTCCCCACCCCAGGCTACAGTTCTTCGTGGTGCTCACCAGCCAACGAGAGCTCTTCCCCAGACTCACTGCAGACATGCGCCGGTTCCGGAAGCCGCCCCGACTGCCCCCTGAGCCGGAAGCTCCTGGGAGCTCAGCTGGTAGCCCTGGGGAGGCCTCGGGGCTTGGTCTGGCCCCTGGACCGGCTCCCCTTTTCCCCCCACTGGCTGCAGAGGTGGGGGTGGCGCGGGCACGGCTGGCTCAGCTGGTCCGGCTGGCTGGAGGCCACTGCCGTCGGGACACGCTCTGGAAGCGTCTCTTCTTGCTGGAGCCTCCAGGGCCTGACCGGCTACGGCTTGGGGGACGCCTGGCTCTGGCGGAGCTGGAGGAGCTCCTGGAAGCAGTCCATGCCAAATCCATTGGGGACATTGACCCCCAGCTGGTAAGCAGCCATGCGTTCTAGAAGGGGCCTGTTTGGATACTAGGGGTTCTGGCAGCAGCCGGGGTGGAGGGTGCAGAGCTCTCAGGTGGCTCTCGGACAGCAGATGCAGCCCCATGGACCTTTCCCTAGGACTGCTTCCTGTCTATGACGGTCTCCTGGTACCAGAGCCTGATCAAAGTTCTCTTAAGCCGTTTTCCTCAGAGCTGTCGTCATTTCCAGAGCCCAGACTTGGGAACTCAATACCTGGTAAGTCTCCCTGAGACTCCTCTGAAGGGAGAGACGTAGCCAAAGGCCTTATCAGAGAGATGACATGTCCCTGAAGGAGCCCCAACCTAGCTGGGTTTGCTTTGGCGGGAGGCCTAGATGGAACAGGATCCACGTGAAATCCTTCAAGCCCTGAGCACTGAGCCTGGACGTAGGATTCCTGAGAGCAGTCTGGAGCTCTGACCTTAAAAGCTCACAAAAACACACATCTGGCTAGAGATCCTGAGGGCCAAGCTCTGGAACCTCATCAGCCTTAGGGGCAGACTCCCAAGAAGGACCTCTGGGGCTTTAAAGCCTCGTCACCCAAAGCATGGTTGTCACACTGGCAGCGGTGGCAGCACCTGGGAGCTTGCCGGAATGCAGGCTCTCAGGCCCCAGCCCCGACCTGTCTAGCCTAATCCCCAGGGGCACACGAGAGGCTAAAAGCACTACCTGGGCCAGGTAGAGGGAAGAAGGCTCAGGTGTTGGCCGGACAGTATGGGGGGTTAAGAGACTGAAGATATGAGCCTGATGAGAGCAGTGGTTGTGGGGAGGAGAGATTTGGAAGAAGACTTCCAAAAAAGTAGGCGCTGGTCCAGGGGTCCCGCAACAATGCTTGTGAGGAAGGCGAGTTTCAGGGCCTGAAGGGGCATTCCCGGGACACTGAGTTGAGTTGGTAAGGCTGTGGTTGTTGGCGGGGGGGTGAGCAGATGGGGGCTCTCCTGTGGATGGGGGGAGCGCTGAAGCAGGAGTGTATTTGGGGGAAGGGTGATGAGTTGAGTCGGAGGTCCATGAGGCCCTCCCAGGACCACATTCTAGAAGGTTTATGGACGCTGGGGACCGGAGCCCAGGAGAGAAAGACCTGGGCAACAGCTACATGAACAGGTGGTCACTGAAGCCTGGGAGTAGAAGGAATCAACTGGAAGAGATCACTGAGCTGAACAAAGGGACAGCCAGATATAGGGGGTTAGTCCGAGGGGAGGTCAAAGCGATGCAAGACCAAGGACAGGAGGCAAGGGGGAGTTGTGCCAAGGGTAGAGAACACTCAACCTGCCAGCTTTGTGCAGGGCCTCTAGACGAGCTCTGAAGCCTTCCAGTCAGGTGCCTTCCCCTCATTCTGAGGAGGCTGGTTGGGCTGACGGGGAGCCAGCGAGGATGAGGATGGAGGTTCCGTTGAGAGACAAGGTTCTGGGGCCTGGAATGCAGGTGGGCTCAGGTGTGGTAATGGGAGCAGGCCTTCCTCAGACCGGCCCACTTCCAGAATGCCCTCAAGGAAGGTGGATGCTGCCTCAGATGACACAGACCTCATTCCCCGTGTCACTTTGGTCTTTCACTGCAGGTTGTGCTGAATCAGAAGTTCACAGACTGTTTTGTACTGGTGTTTCTGAATTCTCACTTGGGAAAGACGGTAAGAATGGGTGAGGGGCTTTGTGTCAGCCTAGCGGGAGGCTTCCCCTAGAGCCTAGGGAAGTTGGGGAGCCCTGCTCTCCGTGCCTGCCCTCCTTCCTCACCACCGCACCCCTCCTGTGTTCCCCACAGTCTCTGACAGTGGTTTTCCGAGAGCCCTTCCCAGTACAGCCCCAGGACAGCGAGAGCCCCCCTGCCCAGCTGGTGTCCACCTACCACCACCTCGAGTCCGTCATCAACACAGCTTGCTTCACCCTCTGGACCCGCCTCCTCTGAGGACCAGACCACTGAATGGCACCATTCCTTGAACCATGGGGGTCCAGAAGTTTGCCCACTTGAAGCAGGACTGACCAGCCCTTCTGGGTCCAGACTGAAGGGGACACCAGAAGCTTTGTGACTAGATCTCGGGTTTGCAGCCCCGGCCTCACGGTGAGAGCTACCCTCCTGAGCACTTGCCACTATTGACTGGCCAGGCTTCGGAGGGGTAGCCCAACTCCCTGAGGTGCCCATCTCCTCTCAGTCCCCTGGGCCCTTCCAGGAAGGGACTCCACCTTCCTGCTCACCTGGTGGAGTCCCAGGAATTCACAGTAGTTGGCAAGTGCTCACCCGAGAGCTCCTCTGCCTGAACGCCGCCTCCAAGGCCCCAATGGCCGGCAGCCACCCCGCCCTGCTTTGAGCCCTCTGGTCTTCGTTTCCCACTTGAACATCATTGCTGGACATTGCCACTGAGATACGTCACCTTGGTTCCAATGCCCGCTCTGCCTCTGAAGCCCCTGTGACCACAGGCAAGTCCCTCAGCTCTCAGACCTGTGGTCTGTGGTGTGTAAATGAAGAGGTGGACTCCGAAACCCCCGTGTGCGCAGGAGACTGGAGCACTTGAGCATGAGCCGGACGTCCCTTCTCTTCCCTTCTCACCAGGCGGGAAGCAGCCCCGGGAGAGCGAGGGGTTAGACACTGTGTGTCCTCCCACTGCCCAATAACACACACATGGGACAATGTTCGGCAGGTGGTCTTTAATGCAGGAGATGCAGGCCACTCTGGGCCCTGTCCCCCAGAGGCACGGGGGGGTGCAGGGCGGGCCCTCACTGGCCAGCCTGAGGGTGACCCCGCCTGTCCCAGTATGCACGAAGCCAACTCAAGCCCTCTGCTGTGTCTCCTGAGGAGAGAGGGAGGCGGTGGCATCTCGGCCCGTGAGGAGAAGAGCAGCCATGTCCAATACCTGTCAGTCCAGAGCTCCCTTACCCCAGGGCCCAGCCTGGAGCCCCCTCACCTTGAGGCCGGTACTCGCAGCCCACAAAGCCCTCGTAGCCTTCATCCTCCAGCAGTTGGAACAGATAGGGGAAGTTCAGCTCGCCGGGGCTGTCAGGCTCCCCCCGGCCTGGGACCTGTGCCACCTGCACATGCCCTAGACACAGATGGCGGCAGGTGGGGGCCTCAGGCTCCACCTGAGGCCTGAGAAGCGGAAGCGGAGGGGGGGGGTGGGGGTTAAAGGGGTGGGAGCACAGCAGACAAGGAGCAAAAAGACCCTCTCACCAACGAGGGGCAGCAACTCCCGTATATTCCCTGTCAGGTTCCCGTCCATGATCTGCCAGTGGAATAGGTCCTGGGTAGAGAACAGTAGTCAGAGACCCTGCACGCCCCCAGGCTCTCACCCCATTCTCCCCAGATGTGGGGAACACTGGGCCTTCTGAGAAGCATTTCCTTTCTTCCACTTACCATCTGTAACTGGAGGTTGGGTCTTCCGACCTTCTGTAAGATGGCTGCCGCTGGGAGAGAAACCGGGGAGGGGGCCGTAAAACCCAAGGAGAGCGCAAGATTCAGAGGGGACTGGGGGAGGCACAGGGCTGCGGTCCTACCCTGCTGGGGGGTGTCCAGGAAGTACTGGGGGTCGGTGATGCGGGTGTTGATGGGCTCCAGCAGTCCCACGAGGCTCTCCTAGCACCACGGCGGACCCGTGAACAGAGCTCTGCTCCAGTTTCATGCCCCCTCCACCAGTGACTGGTGAAGCCCGTCCCCGTTCCCTCTGAGCTGGGCTAGTGCCCGGCCGCCTGCCTCATTTGCTCTCGCAGCTCTGTCTGTCCTTGGTCTCACCTGAGCCAAAACTCCAGCTGCGTGCCTCAGGTTCTCCAGAAAAACGGTCTCCATTTCACTCCTGACTGCTGCTCGGTCAGCCCCCTGGGGCATTCGGCCAGCCATCAGGTGAATCCTGGGGGGAGGTGGCACTGGAGGAGGCTGGGGAGGCCATCCTGACAGCAGCAGGGCCTCATTCCTGTGGCTCCTTGAGCGCCCCTCCAGCTGTCCTCCCTGGCCTATCACCTGCCCTCCTGTGGCAGCCTTGAGGCCAAGCTGTTTCCCAGGTACCATCCTCCCGCCTGAGAGGCCTCTCATTTAGCGCTCCAGTGGCCCCTCTCTTCGGGGCTATAAGCATGCGGGTCAGCCTCATTCTCTAGCAGGTATTTTGACCCTTCCCTGAAGTATTCCATGCTGCTCGTCTCCACTCCTTGCAGCTGTTCCTTAGATCCTTCCCATCTGCGCTCTGCCCCCACCACTCACCAGTCATGACCCCCATTGCCGTTTATTTGATCGGCCCGGCTCTGCCTCTTCCACCTCCTCCAGCCATCACCTGATCTCTCGTGGCCACACCCAACTCCAAAGGGCCCCATCTGCAGCCTCAGGAACTCTGCTGAGCGCCCCAAGCCTTCTCTTGTCTCTGGTGAGTGCACCCTTGCCTCCCGTGCTCCCTACATCAGGCAAACGCGTGTTCATTTCTTCCAGCCCCAGTTCAACATCACTACCTGTAAGAAGCTTCCTCTGATCCCAGACAGTTGCCATAAACTGACCCTCCAATGGATCACTCCCTGTGTTTACTTTCCTATCTCCCTGGTCAAAGCTCCTGGCACAGGATCCCTGCATGAAAGTGTGGCAAACACAATGACACAGGACAAATAAAATACAAAAGGCAATTGACAAAGGACCGGGGCTGGCAGAGTGAAGGGCCAGTGCGCGGACTTCTGAACCTCTCCAACCTGGCGTTGCGTTCTCCCAGGCCCCAGACATGGGGCAGGGGCTTGGAGGAGACCGGGCAAGGTGGGGAGGAGAGGGTAGGATACCTGGGACAGCCCAGAGCCTTGGCGTACAGCACTGCCTGTTCCAGCCCCTCTCGGAAGGCCGCTTGCCTCCCGGGAACGGCCCCCAGCCCCATTTCCCCTTTCTCTCGGTCTCCTGCGGAGAGAACAGGCCTCAGACCCGGCTCGCGTTCCCGGGCCTCCCGTAGCCCCCCGTAGCCCCCCTCTGCGACCCCGCGGCGCACCAGGGGGCGTGTTGATCAGCACCAGCCGCAGCCCCGCTTCCCGCGCCGCGCGCGCCAGTGCCTCGGGCGGCTCCGCGTACGGCCAGGCCACCTCGGCGGCCTCGAAGCCCGAGCCGCCGGCCGCCCGGAGCCGCGCGGGGAGCCCGGGGAGCTCGGGGAACAGCCACGACACGTTGGCCGAGAAACGGAGCGGAGCCATTACGGGCCGGGAACACGCTCGCAGGGAAGAGTCCAGCACCCGCCGGAAGGCGGAAGCAGGCGGGGCGGGGAATCGCCGATCCGGGGGAGGGCGCTGCGGGGCCAGGCTGGGCCCGGCTCTGGAGGGCGCGCCTAGGGAACCCGATCTGAGGCGTGGCGCGCTGGCGCCGCGAGCCGAGCCACGGGCCCTCTGTACCAGCCTTTTTTGGTTAGAAAAGCATTGTAGGGTGAAGACCGAGGACGGCCCAGAAAAGTGACATTTTCGAGACTGGAGAAAGGGAAATGCGGGGAGAGGCGACAGAACCAAGCGAGAGGAGCTCGGCCCGGGGGGTCGGCGGGAGAGAATACCCCCTCCACGCGCCCCCCCCCCCCGCCACCTCCTACCGCGGGAGGGTAGACGGGGCGGTGGGCGGGGGGCCGTGTTTCGGGGGATGGTTGGGAGCCCCAGGGGCTGAGAGCCCAGAGAGAAGGGCAAGAGAGAGCTGGCCCGTCCCGAGAACCCAGTTAAAAGTGAGGAATGTGAACTTTAACAAATAACTTAGTATTTCCCCCATTATAAAAATAGTATCTGTTCGTTATGCAACGTTTGAAAGCTACAAGACGAAATCAAGAACATTTAAATCACCAGTCATCGCACCATTAACCGCTAACTTTCCCTTACAGATGAAAAAACAAACATAAGCAGTTTTTTTTTCCCCGTTAGAGAATTCTGATCATACTGTACATGCAGTTTTATGGTCTGCTTTTTCATTTAATATTATTTCGTTAACATTTCCCCGTGTTCAATATCCTTCAAAGTCATTGCATTCACTGCTCATTGTGCCATACCCGCAGCCCAGAGTTTATCCCACTGCTCTGTTGATGGTCATTAGAGTTTTTCAACATTCGTGTGTGCGTGTGTTGTGAAAGCACTTGAATGCACCTCTTGGCTCCATCTCTGAATTTTTTTTCTGAGGTTCCTTTTAAATGTCCATTACAGTACTTGCCAGCCCTAAGTCCTTTATAAGAGAACTGGCCCCACCCCTGGTCTCCGCACTGAGCGGCTGTGGGTGAGGGTATTCCCTCTTCCCCCAGCTGATTGGGCCACAGGAGGACATCTGATCCAAGGGCAGCGGAAGCCTCCAGGGGCTGAAGACCCATTAGCCGCCTAGTTTGGATCTGGCCAATCAGATTCTGTTTCTCAAAGTCCAAACCTGGAAGTACTGAGAAAGTCAACTAAGAGGTAGTCTTGCCAAAAAAATGATCGTGGATGTAGAAACCAAGCAAGCAAGAATCAGTTGGTGAAGGAACGCTAGCGCAGGCAGGGGAGTAACCAAGCACCAGAGTAGGATGGGTAGAGATGGCAACGTGGAGAAACTTCTAGGTGGAGTTTATCCGGCTGGTGAAACCCACAGACCTGGGGTCTGTGCACTTCCAGGCTGGGATGTTTAGACCTTCCTGGGTTTCCGTTGTCTGTAGCCTCTTAATGTTTCTTTTCTTTTCTTTTTCTTTCTTTCTTTTTTTTTTTTTTAAGATTTTATTCATTTATTTGACAGAGAGAGATCACAAGCAGGCAGAGAGACAGGCAGAGAGAGAGGAGGAAGCAGTCTCCCCGATGAGCAGAGAGCCCGACGCGGGGCTGGATCCCAGGACCCTGAGATCATGACCTGAGCCGAAGGCAGCGGCCCAACCCACTGAGCCACCCAGGCGCCCCTCTTTTTTTTTTTTTTTTTTTTAAGATTTTATTTATTTATTTGACAGAGATCACAAGCAGGCAGAGAGAGAGGGAGAAGCAGGCTTCCTGCTGAGCAGAGAGCCCAATGTGGGGACCCTGGGATCAGACCTGAGCTGAAGGCAGGGGCTTTAACCCACTGAGCTACCCAGGTGCACCTGCAGCCTCTTAATGTTTCTTGAGAGAATCAGAATGAGTTTATTTCATCCTCAATAACCTGAATGATTGGGAAGAATCCTAAGGCTGGAATTACATAGTCAGCAAATAGGAACATGTTTAAGGTCTTGATGCTCTGCTAAACTGATATATATATATATATATATATGAATTTTTTTTAAGATTTTCTTTCTTTCTTTCTTTCTTCCTTTCTTTCTTTCTTTCTTTCTTCTTTCTTGACAGAGATCACAAGTAGGCAGAGAGGCAGGCAGAGAAAGAGAAGGAAGCAGGCTCCTGGCTGAGCAGGGAGCCTGACTCGGGGCTCGATCCCAGCACCCTGGGATCACAGGCTGAGCCGGAGGCAGAGGCTTCAATCCACTGAGCCAACCAGGCACCCCACCTAAACTGCTTTTTAAAACCATTGCGAGTTTATACTCCGCCAGTATGTGGGTGGAAGTCCTCTTGGTCGGTTTTCTGTACTAGCTTTGAGAGAAGGAAGCTCCAAGGGCCGCATTAGGAGCACCCAACTTCCACTCCCTGTCGCTGCAGACCTCTATCCCCAGACAGGCTCGCGCAGACACCTGGGGTCCAGGCCAGCATCAGAGTTCATCCAAGCGGCCAGCAAGTTCCATTGCTTAGTTCTGCCTCTAAGAACAGACTGCCACCAGCTATTCCTGATCACCTGATTTCTTGCCCATTTACAGCTGGTGTTATACTTGGAACTTGAACTTGTCCTGAAATGTGTTTCTTGGGTATAGTCCAATCAGGATGTGACCTCACTAAATTTAACATTTTAATCAATTCCAACTTCAGCATGTTTGTAGTCCAATGTTGACCATGCAGAATAACATCTAAGGAAAGTATTTCCTTTTTTTTTTTTTTAAGATTTTATTTGTCAGAGAGAGCGAGCACAAGCAGGGAGAGTGGCAGGTAGAGGGAGAAGCAGGTTCCCCGCAGAGGAAGGAGCCCAATGTGGGGACTTGATCCCTAAACCCTGGGATCACAACCTGAGCTGAAAGCAGACACTTAACCGACTGAGCCACCCAGGTACACTGAAAGTAATTCCTTTTTAAGACCTCACTGTAAATCTTGGAGTGTGTAAATTCCACTTAAGATTTTAAAAGCACCACCAACTGCTGGGGTCCACTCCCTTGTATGTATACCCTTTGGACAGCAGAGACAATGTATAAATATAAACTAGAGAGGCATGACTCACTTTCCCCCTTAATTTTCTTCAACACCTTCACATATTACATCAAAATAAATGCAAAAGGAGGACAATGCCCATGAAAATTATTCTCTTTTTTTAAAGATTTTAAGTAATCTCTACACCCAATGTGGGGCTCGAACTCATGACTCCAAGATCAAGAGTTGCATACTCCACCAACTGAGCCAGCCAGGTGCCCTGAAAATTATTTTCTTTACTCACTGTTTGACTTTCTACCATATACCACTTTGCAACATAGGCATTACACTAAGTTATTATTATAAATCCTGATTCTTTGGGTGCTCCTGGGTGGCTCAGTTGTTAAGCATCTGGCTTCGGCTCAGGTCATGATCCCAGGGTCCTGGGATCAAGCCCAGCATCCGGCTCCCCGCTCAGTGGGAGGCCTGCTTCTCCCTCTCCCACTCCTGCTGCTTGTGTTCCCTCTCTCTTGTGTCTCTCTCTGTGTCAATTAAATAAGTAAAATCTTAAAAATAAATAAATCTTGATTCTTTACATTTAAATTTTAACCGAAGAATTTGGTATGACAATGAGTTAAAGTAACAATGACTTATAAATAGTTACATGGATGGTGGCTAAGACCTGAGTGTGGAGTTCAGAGTCTTGTTTGGTCACTGGATTGCACTTACCAATCTGGTTTAAAAAAAAAAAGAAAAAAATATATATATACACACACATATGTGTAATTTCATATACACACATGCATACATGCACACTTCATGTGAAATGCAAACCAAGGGGCACCTGGGTGGCTCAGTGGGTTAAGCCTCTGCCTTCAGCTCAGGTCATGATCTCAGGGTTCTGGGATTGAGTCCTGCATCAGACTCTCTGCTCAGCAGGGAGCCTGCTTCCTGCTCTCTCTCTCTCTTTGCCTAACTCTCTGCCTACTCGTGATCTCTCTCTGTCAAATAAATCTTTAAAAAAAAAAAGAAATGCAAATCAAAACCTCAATGAAATTCATTTTATGCCTTCCAGATTGACAAAAAATTTTAAGTCAGACATTATCAAATACTGGATTGGATTTGGAAAAACTGGAGCATTTATTCACTGCAGGTAGAAGTGCATGAATCACTACCGTCACTTTGGAGATCAATCCTGTGGTATCTGTTAAGGCCCGGACATCCATATACATTTGATCCCGTAGTTCCTTCCCCAGGTGTAGCCCCTGAAGGGACGTTTGCACAGATGTAAAGGAACCCCACTATTTACGTACCAAAATGTGAAACTAACCCTAATGTCCACTGGGTAGGCATAGAGATGAGTCGCAGGATAGCCATCCATCATTGTATAGAAAAGTGAAGACAAAACCGGGGGCCCAAATAACCCAATTGAGCTTGCTCTTGAATTCTGGTAATAGATGAAGAGCTTAGTGAAGATTGGGTCAAGCTGGAAACATCAGTGCGAACACATCAACCGGATAAATCTCAGAAACATACTCTTGAGTGAAAGAAGCGAATCACAGAGAAATACATAGAGTGTGATCCCATTTATACAAAGTCCAAAGCGGGGAAGACCAAACAATGCCTCGTGTGAGGGTATGAGCCTCTGTGGTAAAAGTGTGAAGACGAGCAAGTGAATAAAGACTGCAAAATCCAGGGTGACCGTGAGCTCCAGATGGGGAGGGAAGAGGAGAACGTCGGAGGCTTCAAAAGCCATGGCCATCCCCTTTCTCTCAGGCTGGCTGAGACGGTCCTATAGGCACGCACCTCCATTTTATCACAACTCCCTCTACCTCGCATCTATTTTATAAATACCATGTTGTGTCTGTTTCATATTTAATAAAAATGAGTTTGTAAAACCTTCTGTAAGCATGACTGCCACCTGTTAGCACATTTTGCATTAACATCCTTCTGGTAATGCCATCTTAATCGCAAGGCTTCTTCTATAGACGCAGCTTGTTTGTGATAGACTGTAATCACCACGTTCTGGAATCAATGTGTCACTGT